GTGTGTATATATATATATATATATATATATATATATGTATATTCCTGTGTCTATGTAAACTACTTGTATCTTTTGATGACAAAAGCTTGTTGAAAATTTTTAATCTTGTAATAGTTTCTTTTGCTACACATTCAAGCAATCTATTTAGATAAAAACTTTAACTGGTATGCAGAAAAAATAGTTTATTTAGAACTACAGGAGAACAATTTATATTATAAAACTATTTTGGTAGCTTTCTAAAGTAATATCTCAAATGGCAATATGGTAATTTAAACTGTTACAACCTTTTAATAATGATCTTTTAATTTATCTTATAATCTAAAAAAATGCATAGTAAACCTCACAAAACAAGTTTGTAGCTTTAGCTTATAGAGATTCATTAACAACAAATCAAAAGTTAACTTATACCAAAATTTCAAAATTATCATTTACATAACCAGAAAAACAATGAATTACCTCTATGTTTCCATTTGACATTTCACCAAGTTCCAGCTCATGATTTTCTGAATTAAGAAGTACATTCATTTCTTCTTGATCAATTTTTGTAGGAAGCGAATCATTCAGGTTCAGTTTTTCAAATTTTGAGAAAGCTGTCATTTTACTTGTAGCTTGATTTTCAAGGATTTTGTACTTGCATTTTATCAAAAGCAGCATAGCTTTAATACTAGAAAAAAAAGATAAACACAGGAACATATACATGTAACCTACAGCTTCATCTACATGTAGAGATTCTCCATACAAAACTGACTGAAAGAAAAAACAAAGAAAGCTGTTATCACTGTATTATGAACTGCAGAAAAAGCTTAGGAGCAGTTTTTTTAATCCTCTTATAATTAACTAGGCTTTTCATACTAACCCAAAGATTGAGATATCTAAAAAACATATATTAAAAAGATTAACATTTAAACTTATATATTTATTCTAATATTGCATGATATTCTAATTTTTGCTCTATGCAGTCATATTTAAAATTTTTTATAGCTGTTTTTAACCAAGGCCTGTACAAAAACTAAGGGAAGTGTTTGAAAATCAAGAAAGGGATAATATATTCTCAAGAGGAAATTTAACATTTTCCTTACCTGAATATATACTTCAGATAGATACTTACCTCTCTGCACCACTAAGAGCTAGAATGCCACATTGAAAATGGGGGGGATGGACTTGTTCTGATCAATTACATAAATGTGCTCCTCTTTGAAATAACAAATGAAAAGGAAAGCCCATGAGGTGACTTCCACTAGACCTGGGGTCACCTAGTGGAGCAACATTAGGCTGGAGACTGCATTTTTCAAGCATGGAATATTGTTCATCTAGTTATTATTATTGAGTTATTCATACACATACATTATGATTACATGACAGAGAGATTTACCAGTAAAGGATATCAGGTTATTCCAGTGCTAGTGGTAACATATTGCAAAAAAGGGATGGAATGTGAGAATGTATAGTGCAGCTAGGGCATAATGCCATTTCATTTTGTAGAAATACATGAGATAAATATTATAATGATAGATGGAGAGAGGAGGAAAACTCACCTGCATCTGAGGCAAATCCAAGTCCAACTTGGCTGAACATATTCACCAGGAAATGCTTGGGAAATATTGTATTGGGGTATCCTATACTGCACTTGCAGGAAAAACCCCAGCTCTAGATCTCAAAAGAGTGATGGACTCAACCAATTACTTACTGGGGAGGGAAGGCACTGCTTACAGAGGAAATGTTTCATAACGATATCCCCAGTAATTTGGGACTGGAGAAGGTTATCCCATGTTATGCTAAAAGAACAGGAGAGGAGGGTACCTTGCATTGGGGAGAACACTGGAGTATGTGTTAGGACATCTATCACAAGGCACAATCATCTGAAATTGGGACCAATGAGAGAAAAAGTAATGGACTACTAAGACTAAATACAGCAAGTGTGAGTCAGGTGTAAGAGTAGGACTACACCTGATGCTGTCCATATCTTTTTTTTTTTTCAGTAAAAGCAGCCTTGCAGAAAACTCCATCTCAACAATTAGAAGGTGTGGATGAGTTTAATGCATTCTATTCTCCACTGCTTAATGGCAATTTTAAATAAGTATTCCATGTGAGACAATGCTGATCACTTGGTGAGTTGCGAAGGCATCAAGCAAAAGGAACATAAGGCATAGTTCCTCATGTAACATTTGATCTAACGAGTCTTGTCTCCTTTTGTTTGTTTCCGTATTTGTTGAAAAACTTGCAATGTGTTAGAATCTGTACAAAAATCATGATACACACAAGGATGTGCCATGAAACATATGAATGACATGGAGGTGATTCAAAATACAAGTAAAACTCACCACACAAGAGCCTCTGGATAGATTGAGAAATGGTGACTAAGGGAAGGTGAAAACCAAAGGCACACAAAACTGCCCAATGATGTAAACAATTAGAGATAAATGTGCTAGGAATAGGCCACATACCAGCCTTAAGTTCTCCTCCAAAGGCTGATAACAAAAAGTGTCATAACAGGCTATGACATGCTGAAACTGGCAGAAGGAGATGCAAGAAAACATATGATCAGACTCAATTAAAAACAGAATGTGCAAGATAGTGAGTTGGCAAATCTGCCAGTTAAAGTGGGAGGGAACAAGTGACATCAGTTTCCATGAAATGAAGCAGTTTGAACAAGACAGCAACAGACAGTTCATACAGGACACAAAAGATGTTCATGATTAGACTGATTGTACAAAGATAAAACAGAAGGGAGAAATATGGTAAATAACATTTGAGGCAGCCCAAATCTTTGGAATAAAGGAGTGGATTGTAAAAATCAATCTTTCCCCAAGACAGTGAGTGCAAGAGGTGTCTAGGTATAAATATCTAAATGACAATGACCACAAAGAAGAAGAAGAAGAAAACAGTTCTTGAGAACCAAACATTAACAAGATATACCTTTATTAATAAGTCTTAAGCAATCTTCAGTTACATCAATTGTGTGTTTCATACCGTATATATACCTGTGTCTAGGTAAACGACTTGTATCCGATGTTGACAAAACCTTCACAAAATGTTTACATTTGTTACTGTGCTAAACTTGTAATAAAGGTTTCTCCGTTACCCAGTAAACCCATCTCTAAATTGTATAAGCCTACCTTATCTCAAATTATTTGATCTCGTTTCATTGAAAAGTCTGTAGCTCACAAACAGATAATTTAATGCAAGTACTTTCACAATTCATAAATGGAAGGAAAAAAAATTATTAAGCCCATATTTTTACACTACTATCATATGATAATCTAATTTTTGCTCTATCCAATCATATCTAAACTGTCTTTTAATTGATTCCATAGCTATGTTACACTAATAAACGATGAAATCACTTGATGTGGCATCATAACAAGGTGAGAAACAATGCCTGAAAAAAAACCAAAAAAACTTGAAAATAAAAAAATGGAGTATTTTCAAGGGGTGATAGGTTCTTAGCTAAAATAAAGTTTTTCTTTGGTATGGACAGAAAAAATACTAAAACAATTTGACAAGTGGGCTATTTGTTCGCAGGCAAAACTTATTGTTGTAGTGCAGAAGTGATAATTTTCCTATATTGAATATGTATTTCCAATAAGTACTTACCTCCTCTCACAGATAAAGCTATTCTCTTTCAATGCTGTCCTCTAAATGCAAAAAATTTTTTACATGCCACAAGCCTTGAACTCCCATAATCAATGTGGTTCAATTGCATCTTGCATGTAAATCATCATGCAACAACCCTTCACCAATAGGAATGCAACACACACTCCTAATGCATGTGTCTCCTTCTATTCAGTTCTACCAAACTATCATTTCGAGTTTTGGCAGAAAATGGAAGCACCAGTTTTCAGTTGACAAGTGTTAGAGGAGGTAAGTACTTATTGCAAATACAATTTCAGTATAGGAAAATTATAAATTCTGATACAGTACATTATCTCTTCTCACAGATATAGCTAGAATCCCACATTGAATGGGTGGAGGGACCAGTGCAAGGGAAAACTAAAGTATCCTTAGAAAGCATCCAAAGAACATCTGAAAAGGGGAAATCCTTGCAGTAGAGAATCATACATGGAAGACCACAATGCTTTTGTACCAGATATACTCTATGACCAGCATGAAAAAAGGTGTCACAAAACACATTCAAAAGGGAGAGAACAATGGTTGGATAGGGATCCAAATCACTTGATATGAGAATATCAATCCCTTTGATGACAGTAATGTGGGTGAGAATAAAAAAGGATGTACCCAAGATATAGGATGGCTAGGGTGTGACAGACCGTACACAGTAAATCAACTGCATTCAAAACCCAGCCACCGGGAACCAACACCCATCTGGAGGTAGGATGAGGATCATACCATCAGTAAGTCAACTACAATCTGAAACCCAGCCACTGGAAACTGACATCAATGTGGGGGTAGGAAAGAGGATCATACCGTCTTCATCTCAAGTTCAGCAAACCACAGGTAGATATCAAACCTTCTGATCTGTGAATAGGGTACATAATAGCAAAGTGATAAAATGATTTACCAATCCGGGAACATAACATCCAGATGATCAAAATAATAAAGATGTCCCTGTATAGTCAAATATCCCACTCAAAACCAATCAGACTGGAACTACCCCCAGTGCAGTAACATTCTTGAGGGATAGTGCAAGAGGAAGTACCATACTAACCTGCTTCTTTAACCATCACGATCCAAAACATGCTAACAGTGAACACGAGTCTAATTGAGTGAGGGAACAGAGATAATTGTAATACATGTGTGAGGATTTATGTTGATTGGTCCAGCTGTAAATCCGAAACCTAGCCATTGGGAACTGGCATTCATGTGAGAGTAAAATGAGGGATCCCAATTGAGGAGGGGAAATGCAATTTTGACTCCAAGGTTACAGCACCCTAAGATAAACCAATTCAGAGATGGAGCATCAGATTGGAGGACATCTTGTCATCTACAACAGCAGAACACCACCGTCCTACTCTCACCTTAACCCGATGACTACCGGTACTAACTTCCTTAGTAAGCAATGCAAGTGTGCATTTGTGAATTGAAAAAATGATAGAGTACTTATATTTTAATGGATTTCTGATTTTATTTTTATAAATAGTAGCATAACATTCAATTATTTGTACAAAATTATATTCTTTAATGAAGTTTAAAGAGGAATTTAATGAAAAAATTCCTAAAATACGTTTTAGACTGTAAATAAGCACCCTCTAAGAAGAAATGTTTTTTTAAATAATTTTTTTAAGATATTTCCTTTCACCTCAGCACTGGTTCTGCCATCTATGATCGGTATCTAAACCTTTTTCTAGTCTGTTTTCTTTATAAAACTGCGTCTGGGCGTGTTAAACCTCAGTGGTAAAATTTTTAGCCAATCCTAGTCAAAAGTATCAATTTCAGCACCAATTATTCCAATTGCTGTATCTCCCATTTGACAAATCATAGGATGATAAGGAAAGCACGTGATGAAACGTTGTTCTCTGGATTTTACAATATAAATGTGGGTGGTGCTTATTATAGTAACTGCCATTTTATGTAAAGGTTGTATTTAGTACTGGCCAATAGGGCTTTTTCTGTAAGCATTAGAACTAGAGTGACCACCAAAAGGGGTGATATAGTTTACGGACAACGTACAAAGTTCACGCTGCTGACCCCATGGTTTATTCGGCA